ATACAGAACCTATAGAAATGTAAACAGATTTTGTACTTATTAATAAAATCTCTATAAAATATATGATAATTTGATCTGCATATGTAGAATAATCATTTTTGACTCCCAAATGGCATTTTTTTTTAATTTTGTTATTGGATCTACGAAACCGCTTCATCTGTCTTCCCAAAAACTTAATCAGTTCTTCATTTTTTCAATATAAATAAAATAATTTTTAAATCATTGAAATTAGATTGAAATGGATCGATGGAAAGTGTAATTATACTAAAAGTAAAAAAACACAGGTTATTTTTTCAAACTTCATTGAAGTATTTATATTGTATTATTTTATAATCCTCTTTTATAATTCTGAAAATTAGAAAAAAAATCTAGATCGACCATTGTACAAAACTGACAAGCGCTAATCCTTATCGAGTTACATCGAATGGTAAATAATTGAAAACGGTCTTGTTATTTTTGAGAAAATGTTGCCAAAAAGTAAAAAATTAGCTTACGTGCACGCATATCCTTCAGAGTAATCTGAGACTGACTTAAAACGTCAAGACAACATAAAATTAGCATGTCGGATCGTTTGGCAAAAATACAAACTTTTCCTGGGGGAAGCTAAAAATGAAAGAAAACATAAATTTTTCACTCTTTTCTATACTTGCTCCCCCCATCAGAAATCAAACCGCTAAACCTGTCCGACTTATGTCATGTTTCCCGGAAAATGAACGTGAATAGAAAGGAAAGCCCTTGCTCGAATATTCTTTCATAAGTAGCTTCGTGTTACGATTACTTATTGACTTATTGACCGACAGGCACCTACATGTATGGCCAGCGTTGCGTGGAACAATTTTGTGTGTATGTGTGTATATATATATGTATAATATAGATATAAGTGTGTGTGTGTGCGTATTGCCGAGTAGAGTTATAATTACAAATTAATATTTATCGATGTTATTACAACGTGATTGAATCATAGGTATAACGTTATTGAGTTATGCCCAGAACAGTAAATATCAGTATTTTTATGATCCACTTAAATGAATTCTACTATTACCCCAAACTTTGAGTAGAATAGACAGAATGAGTAATGGAGTTTTAATATAACTATATATATGCATGATTTATATCCAATACACTTATAATATTCAAATTAAATAAGAAACTATTTACAGGTAATTGTAATCGTAGCAATTAAAAGTTAAATAAGATTTAAAAACGAATTTATTAGACAACTTTAAATCTATAATATGAAACTGATTTTACGAATTTATTAACTTCCCATAGACTCTCACTTACTCTATGGCATAGAGTAAGTTATAGTAATCGTCCATCGTAAATGAAAATTTTTGCATATCTTTACGTTTCAGCGGTTTCTGAACACTTACAAAGAACAGATGTATGTGTATGTGCGTGTGTATGTTTTGTGTGGATACAATTTTTTGTCTACGTTTTCGGGAGCACAGATTAACTGATTTGAATAATTTGAAAGTTTTCAATTTCTATAGATAAAGAGACGAGTTGTTTAGTTTCTTGCAAAGTCGTTCAAGCAGTTTAAGAAATAAATAGTAAATAGTTCAAAAAAAGAACATTCCACTTGTAATGATGGAAAAAAGTGGTGAATAGTTTTTGGCAAAGACAGCCGTTTCAGAGATACGGAGGTAAAATTGCAAAAAATGGAAGTTTTTGAATAATTCGGAAAATGTTTTGCTTGTGGAGATTCGTTTTTAAAGCAGACAATTTTTTTTTACTTCAATTTTTTTTTAATTTGCAATTGTTTTTTGTACAAATGTGCAACATTTATATCTTAAGCTTCGAATAGCCAATACATAGTCTCGATAACTTATTAAGAGTTATTCTAGTTTATTTGTGTAAAAATATAAATTGTACCACTGTGCACATACTTAAACCATAGAGTAATAATGTTTTCATATGTTATATAAGTAGACAATTTTTTTTATTGTTTGCCATTGAATGAAGGGTAAGATGCTATCCAAATCGTATGAATTTTAAATGAATTACTAAAAACTTTCATGCTATTTCTTATTATTTATTATTTATTATATATATATATATATATATATATATATATATATCTGTGTGTATAAATATGAACACACCACACTTTGTTTTTCGCATAAATTTTGTTTCATTGGTTTAAATTATGACCGTGATATGTTTTATCATTAGTGTAAATTCTTACAGCAAATGTATATATTTTAACACATTATGGAATATTCATTCTAAATTATGTTTAATTATGTATGAACTACCAACTTTCTATGATATAGCTTGACGGCTTGACGCTATACTAAATTTGTGAATTGTGTGTAGGAATAAATGGAATTATCTAGTCTTTTATTTGGCCAATGTATGAAAAATTACAATCATACTAATTTAGTTTGTTCTTTAATAAATATATTTTGAGAGTCACTGATTATATTTATGAAATGTAAATAAATAGTTGCTGTAATTATTCCTCTGCCAAATCAAATGCAAATAAGTCCACAGTATTTCACAATTAATCAATTTCTAGAAAAAGAAACAGCCAGGGGGCAAAAAAATCCACCGTTTTACTTTTAATTAAAAAATATTTTATAAAATAATAGCTACATTATTCAATCAATACGATGCAGTTTGATTATTAGGCTAAACAAAAAAATTAAAAATCATGAAATGCACATTTTATGGGCACATTTTTATATAAAAATCGCAATGCATACAACTTTCGTATAGAATTCATCAGCAGAGTTTTTTAGACTTTTATTTACAGTTTTTTTCATTATACACACTTCGCCAGTGTAAATGTTTAGGCGGTCCTTTTTATCTCAACCGCATTTTAGCTATTCTAGGGGTTATATAAAGAACTATTGAATCTGCTATAAAAATAACAAAAGTACTTAAAGCTATATAAAGCTATTATATAATATATGCTTAAAATTTATGTTCAGATATCGTGAACTAAACAAAGGTGCTTAAAAACCAAGAGACTAATTACGAAAAAAATACTTTTGTTAAAAATTTAACATAGTGGCCGTTTATCTCATGATTGCGATGACGCCCAAGGCGATGGCTGGCTACACATCATTTTTCTTCTACTTTAAAAAAGTATTGCCAAAAATGGCATACTTCATTTATTCTTGAGATAATGGTGGATGACCTTTGAACCACGCTTTGCCCTGTATATATGTTAATAGTAGCTAAATTTGATGTTGAATTGTCACCAGGATAATGTAAAGATTAGGCAAACCACCTGGCATAGGTGTAATCAATAAAAATATTAAATTAAAAGTAAATTATGTTAAAAATAAACAATTATTAATATATATAATTATAAGATAATATAATTTAAAAAAATAGATATTTTAATTCAGCTGATAAATATTTCTGACAAAATACCAGATCAAGGTTATACGTATACAATGTTATCTCTGTTTATTGAATATTAGCCATTATTTTATGAAATTCCATTAAAATTGAAAATAAAACATTGGATATATTTTCCCCTTGGCTGACCCGTTTTACCCCGCTTATTGGATTAAAAGAGATAGATGACAAAATTTAGGAAAACCACATTTTCATGATTAGAAATTTACTGCGAGTTCGATAGTTATCAATTCATTAGCAAACTTCTTGATAACAGAGAACTATCTAAGAAGGTTGAAAAGAAAAGCGCCACTGGATTTAAGTCATCAACTCTCCTGATAAAGAATTGAGACAGCTTAGTCATTATTTATAAGAATTTATTTTATAAGTAAATAGTTAAGATTATATAATTATCAATAAAATATTGTGAATATTATATCGTAATGGGAATTGAGTTATTTTTCCAACATGCCCCAATAGTATACAATGTCCCTTTACGGCCGACAATTGTAAATTCCACAATTTTATTGAAGATCCTTAACTGGACAGTTGTAAACAAAAGAGAGAATAAAATAAAAAAAATGTTCGATAGTTATGGATTTGATACGCGTTATGTGTTTTTATGTAGTTCATTTGGCTTAGACAGTATATATGATTAAAGTCAAATTGAACCTTTGTGCCCCGCCCCACTCTCTATATTTATATAAAAAACTGATTTAAAACATAAGACAACTTGCTAACTTCCCGTAGGGTAAGTTATTGTAATGGGCCGATAATCGGAATTGAAAATTTCTACATTTCTCGACGTTTTGAAGATTTCTGAACATTTTGGCATACCTCAGAAAAAATGGATGTGTGTGTGTGTGTGTGTATGTATGTATGGATACAAATTTCCAGTCACGTTTCCGGGCGAACGGATCAACCGATTTGAATGGTTCAAAAAACATTCGATTCCTATGGATAGGAAAAAGAGCTGATTAGTTTTTGGCAAAGGCAGGTCCAGTCGTTTCGAGGATACGGAGCAAAGAGTGCAGAAAATAGAAATCAACTTTTGAGAGAACGGAGTATCCGATTTGAATGATCTAAAAAAAATTCAATTAGTAATGATTGGGAGAAGTGTTTATTAGTTTTTGGCAAAAGCAGGCCCAGCAATTTCGAAGATACGGAGCTAAATATGGTAATGGCAGTTTTTGAGAGAACTAAGCGTCCGATTTGAATGATTCAAAGAACTTTCTGCTTGTCTTAACAAAATAATTGATTTTGGAAAAAAAAATTTTGTTCAAATTTTTTTTTTTTCTTAATTTTTTGTATATCGAAAATAATTCAGATTTTATTTTTAATTCTGACTATAGTTCTAATATACTTTGAACAAATAATTTCAACTTTGCAATTCAGTTTATATAATTCTTATAAATATTAGACAATATTACAATATTTATAATAATCTATTTGAAAACATTCAGTATTCCTCGAATATTTCGTTACGGTACAGGAAGTTCCAGCAATTTGCCTTAAGGCACGATGCCACCCAGCCCACTAGTTATAGTTCATTTTATAAAACAAATAACATTGGAATATTATGTGATACATAATAATTAAATTACTATCAATATTTGTAAAATTTGCATTCATCAAAGTGCTGCACTTACCATTACTGCAAACGCTTCCGGAATCCATTGGACCGGAACTGTCATCATCATCACTTTCGTCCATAAGAGCATGATCGCTGCTGTGCCGCCTTGCGCTTTCTAATTGTGATCTGTCCGACGGCATCGTCCTATGCAGCGTCAAGTCCCGTGGCGAAGGAGATCTACCCGACCCGTGGTCACGGATTCCTAAATCTGATCCCAAGATCCCTCTGTCACTTGCCATTACATTCGTGGTTTGTCCGCCGCCAGATAAAATGTCTGTTATCATGAATCTGGATCGTGGTGGAGGTTGGAGCAGTACTCCGCTTGCTCCGTTCGGCGGACAAATGCCTCCGCCGCCGGCTTGCTGGACTGTCATTTTAGGAATTTTGTGACCGTATTCGGCGATACCTCGGAGATTTAATAAGTGCGATGTGATCTGCTGGTGAAGGTAGAGCCGATTTGGGGTGTCCTGAAGAATCGCGTCGTCTAACCGATCGGCAGGAAAACCATTTGGTAGACTCCTGGCGGTTTTTATTGCAGACTCGAGCGGTAATTCGTACAGTTTGATGCTGGTTATTGGTAAGTTTTGTCACATTGACGAAATAAAGGTTTTAGCACTTTTAAAAGTCTTCTAAATTCTAATCTATCCAATTCAGTTCAACCGTTTTTGTCACAGTAGATTGTCTAAAATAACATACTAGAAGAAACTCAATAAACTACAATGTTTTTGCTCATTTGTATGAATAAAAGTCACTATTTAGAACCAAATTTATGTTCAATAAATTATTCAATAATTTTGTCATTGATTTAAACGAAAGTTTGTTTTGCAATATAAAATTACGTTACATTAAATACACTTTATGATTATACATCCATTATTAAATGAGTTCTGTTATAACGTTAATGTTATTTCAAGCACCTTTCCTGGTATAAACTATATTACGTATTTAGCCGCATGTAACCGATTTGCAGCGTGAGCATTTCATCCATTATTGCATGTTCAGCGCTTTAACTTTCATTTAATATTTATAACACACTCTTGAAAGTACGTAACAATGATGATGATAATAATAATAGTTGACCTATTTCAGTTCCTGTTAATTATATTCTTAGTCAACAGTCAACACATATCACTGCTAATGAGTAAAAACTCACAGATTATATTTTCACGTTCATGCTCGGACTAAATTGATATAGTTGACAAATTATTATAAAATTCACTTGAAGATTGTTCGTATAACGTTGGAGTTGTATAATTAACATTTAACTTCACAATTTATTATTCTATTAACGTTATTCAGATAAGTAACGAATTTGTTAAGAAACATTTATGCAATGGTCACTCAGGCGTTTGCGTGCCATAATTATTCAGCAATTAATATTTTCACGCTCGTTAGTCGTACACTTCGATTAAAATAAAGATATAAGCAGTCTTGAATTCTTGTTGTAATCGTTGTTATATTCACAGTTCAGTTTTTACAAATATTTTATCACTTTTCATATTAATTAGAACGAATGTAACTTGAGATTGGGAAATTTTAAAACAAAGATTAATTCATATCTTGAATAGCACTAGTATGTTTCGCATTTGCACAGTTCATTTATTAATACACGTTTAACTGACACTATGGACAAACTCATTTTTTTTTATCTTAATTATATTTTCTATTTTATAGTTAAAAACGATCAAACTAAAGAACAAAAAACACGTACGTAACAGTCCGTTTGTCAAAAATCCTTCGTTCCGCTTACTTCGAATGATTATAGTATACTAAAATCGTTTAGCGTTGAACCGAACTCAGAGTCTCTTTCGAAACTCCGCCTTTGCCAAACGGGGCGTCCCAAAGATTCTCAGTCAGGGGGCGTTGCCAAATCGTATTTTGTTATAATGAACGCTGTGACTGTGATACCTAAGGTCTGGGCTTGGAGGAGTGGGGATTATGCGAATTCTATTTTTTTCCGTGACTTCTTAGGCGTTTCGGCACAAGCGCAGTTCGTATGCGATTTTGGCTGGCTAATCTGACTTTTGCCCCAAAAATCTTGCGAAATGGATAACGGAGTAGGATATTTATTTTGTAATAAATCTTCTTTTATCCATAACGATCACATTCATTTTACAAACAAGACCGAGTAAATAAATTAATTTAGTGGTGCGTGGCATCACTAATTAAGACAAATTGCTGGAACTTCCCGTAACAAAATTAAAATTAACTAGCGGTGTATGGCATCGTGCTCTAAAGCAAATTGCTAGAACTTCCTGTACCGTAACTGAATGTTCGAGGAATATTAAATGTTTTCAAATAGATTATTATAAACAAATACTGTAACATTGTCTAATATTTATAAGAATTAAATAAACTGAATTGCAGAATAAAAATATTTGTTTAAAGAATATTAGAACTTAAGTCAAAATTACAATTAAAATCAGAATTAATTTCTATATACAAATAAATATTTTTTGAAAAAAAACATTTTTGAAAAAACAAAAATTGAGACAAAATTTATTTTTCTAAAGCAATTATCTTGTTAAAACAAGCAGAAAGTTTTTTGAATCATTCAATGCTTGCTATTTTTTGCACATTTAGCTCTGTATCTCCGAAACTTCTGGACCTGCCTTTGCTAGAAAATAATCACCCATTTTCCCCGTCATTACGAATTGAATGTTTTTTGGATCATTCAAATCGGATGCTCCGATCTCTCAAACACTCGATTTCTATTTTCTGCACTCTTTGCTCCGTATCGCCGAAACGGCTGGACCGACCTTTGCCAAAAGCTCAGCAGCACATCTCCCTATCAATAGGAATAGAATGTTTTTGATCGGTTCAAATCGGTTGATCTGTACGCCCGAAAACGTAGACGAAAATTTGTATCCATACATACATTTACACACACACACACACATCTATTTCTGAGGTATGCCAAAATGTTCAGAAACCTTCAAAACGTCGACGATTGGACGATTACAACGTTGGACGATTACAATAACTTACACTACGGGAAGTTAAAAAAAATTAAATGCTTTCTATAAACAAATTGATTGTTGAATTAAAAAACAAACCTTTTTTCAAAAATTTTAAATTTTTTCATCTTTTGAAATATTTCGCAGCTGCGATAGCTGCGTAGAGACGAAATAACAAAGCGCGTAAGCACCGCGTTGCAGTTAAAAAATAAATACTGGTACGGAACAATGTGAATAAATTTAATTATTATTTTTAAAATCTCTATGAAATATCTGATAATTTGATGTGCATATGTCTAATAATAACGCCAAATGGCATTTTTTACAAAAGTGTTTTTCACTAGATCTGAAAAATTATTACAAAAATTATCAGTTTTTATTTCGTCAATGCAAATAAAGTGTTATTTGAATTATTTGAATCGAACGCTTCGTAATCTCAAAAATTGAATTACCATTTTTGACGCTTTTTGCCCCGTATCTTCGAAACGGGTGGACCTGCCTTGTCCAAAAACTAATTGTCTCTTCATCAATGCGAATCATTCAAATCAGTTGATTCGTTTTCTTGAAATCGTGGACTAATTTTATATCCAAACACACATACACACAACATTTTTTTCAAACGAATGCCAATATGTTTAGGAGACCTTCAAACTTGAAGACATGCATAAAATTCAATTTCGATCTTTTTGCGATTACTATAACTTATCCAACGACAAGTTAAATTGTGGTGCCTGGCATTGTGCTTTTAGGCAAATTGCTGGAACTCTCCGTACCATAATTAAACATTCAAGAAATAAAAATGATGAATGATTATTAAAAAATATTCAAAAATTTATAACAAATGTTTGAAATATTTTTAAATACTATTTTAAATAGATTATTATAAAAAGTGTGAATTTCATCGTTCGTATTTTATAGATCTAATATAATATAAGTGCTTATATTTAGGCAGTGACCTTTATTTATGTTTACAATAACAACTGAATGAAAACATAAACATACCATATCGGAATGCATCTTATTTAAGACCTGCTCTTTACGTCAATATGTATCGTCAACAATCTATGAATCAAAGTGCTTTTAATCATGTCTATCGTTTCATCTGTTCGCCCGAAATCGTGGGCGAAAAATCGTATCCGAGCCTACACTCATACATACATTATTTTTTTCTTAAGTAACCCAAAATATTCAGGAGGTCTTGAAACGGAAAAATGGGCAAAAGTTTTCACTTTCGATTTTCGTGCTATTGCTATAACTTTTCTTACTAATTGTAAGAATAAGAAATTTAAAAAGTTTCAGTTGTAAATTCAATGATTAGGCAGGTACATATTGTACACACAACTTCTAATATGTGCACGATTTTTATTTAAATAAAGGATGCGACCTCAATATAATTTTTAAGTCTACGTTATTTAAATGTTGTATGATATGTATTGTTATTTTTAAGTTAATTTCAACAGTTTTTTATATAAAATCTTATATGTAAGTGGCGTAAAAAGGGCCATCTAAGCCGTTACCCTGGTAAATGCATAAACAATAAAAAAATGTAAATAATAAAGTAAATTAAGTAGGAAAATTCTTACAAAAGATAAGTTAACTGAAAAGTTATTCCGCTGATAATTATTTCTGACTAAATACTAAATCAATGTTATATACCGAATTATGTTTAAAAAATGTACCCGTAAAATTTATATTTTGCATTGGTTGAATACAGTAGCGTTTATTTCGTGAAATCCTGTTAAAATAAAAAATAAGATATTGGACCTGTTTGTCCTGGCTGTCTCGTTTTAACTCGCTTATGGGGATAAAACCGACCAAGTGATAAATTTTTCAAAATTTCTGAAGTTTGGAAATTTCTGAAAGAGCAACAATAAAACTAAACCAGTGGTGTACGGCATCGCGCCTTAAGGCAAATTGCTGGAACTTCCCGTACCGTAACAAAATGTTCGAGAAATATTTAATGTTTTCAAATAGATTATTATAAATACTATAACATTGTATAACATTTATAAGAATTATATAAACTGAATCACAAAGCTAAAAATATTTAATTAAATTTATATAAGAGAGCTTTAAAACTTTAGCCAGAATTAAAATTGAAATCTGAATTATTTTCGATATACAAAAAAAATTGAAATGAATTTTTTTTTCCAAATTGTATTGCCAACACAAGCAAAAAGTTTTTAGAATTATTCATTTCGGACGCTTAGTTCTCTCAAAAACTGCCATTTATTGTATATATAGCTCTGTATCTTCGAAATGGGTGGGCCTGCTTTAGCCAATAACTAATAGCCATTTCTCCCAATCATTACTAATTGAATGTTTTTTAGATCATTCAAATCGGATGCTCCGTTCTCTTTGCTCTTTATCTCCGTAACGTCTGAACATGCTTTCGCCAAAAACTAATCAGCACATCT